GCTCTTCGCAGAGATAACCTCCGGTGGGTGAATAATCCCGGGATTAGCTGGAGGATGGAGAGTGATTTCGGGATAACTAGAGCTGGCTCTTTTATGAGCTGATGAATATTAAGAGTCATATGTTTTCTTTTAAAAGAGCTTTGGAAGAGTCTTCTGAAATAGGAAGTGTGTTATATTACGTTGCATTGTGTACATGTTTTCAAACTGGGTTATAACCAGTAAGATTCTGTGCCATAGAAATAAGCATTTCAATGCTATAATCTCATTCAACTGTCTGGAGAGCTGCTGTTCTCCAAGCCTTCAATAAAAATGAGAGCTAGCTATATTGGGCAAGTTATATTTCTGATTCTTTCTAAAGGTACTTACAATAATAGCAGGCTTTTTAAGTTCTTCACACAAGGGCATGCTGGTTTTTTGTAGTGGTTTACCAGCAAGACATGCAAAACATGGGTGCAGACACAGAGGTTTGCAATACAGAAATGTCTCTCCTATCCTGTGTCTTTTTATATTTTTCTGGTGAACACTGATGAGATACTTTGTTTGCATTTGACACTTGCACAGTCTGGGATTTTCTGCATCTGAATCCTGCACCTTCAGAAATTATTGCCAAGAAAATACAAATTGCTCTGCCTTCCATGTGTGTAGCTTGTCTTTTGTGTCAGGTGTTCCTAAACTTATGAGACAACAAATGCCTGCCAATTCCCAGTGGCTCTCATAAACCTCATGAATGAATCTTTTTCAGTCTTTCAACTGAAAATGTTACCTGTGCAGTATAATTCTGCAGAATATTTGCTGGCTCCTGCTGTATCTTGGTCCACAGTTTGGGAATGTCTTTTGTACTCTACATGCCCTGAGTTTTCCCTCTCACTGGTGTTTTTTGAAGCCTTTTCAGGTGGCCCTTGTATTTGTTCTCCCTTTTGTTTACCTGCTTGAAGATGGCCAGTTTCATTCTTCTCACATATTTCCTTTTTTTTTTTTTCTTTAAAGTTGAAAGAGTGTTGAATTCTCTCAGACACTTAGGTTTTATTATACATTCATCCCATGTAATGCTCAGGAGTTTTCTTATGTGGTTGTTTTCTAATATAATACCTGTGCTGAAGGGCTGCTGAAGTTCGTGTAAGACTTGGACCAAGTAATACTGACATACATTGGGGATTCAAGAAACAGGCAGGTTTTAAAGAAACCTGAAGAAAGAAATTAAAGAAACCAAGCTGCAGTTAAAATAATACAATATCAATGATGTAAAGGGAAACCTCAAGAGAGGGAGCTATTAATAAAATTTTTCAACCACCATTTCCGGTAGGGGACCTTTAAATAGAAAAGACTGTGTTGTAATTTACAGTGTTCTTGTCAGTAAATTGCAGCAGCTATGGCAAGCCACCTGTTAGGTTTCCTGCTCTCTCTAATTGCTGTTATCCTGCCCCCGAGATGTAAGTACTCCTCTAAGGATAAAAATACCCAAATTCCCTCTTCCTCTGGATAACACGTAACATAATTGCATTTATGTTGTATTTCAGATGGCTGCACGGACATTATTGGAGGACATGTCGTGCGTCCTCATTCCTGGCCATTTATGGCTGCTATCCAGACAAATAATTCAACTGTGTGTGGAGGAGTTCTTGTGGAAAAGCAATGGGTTTTGACAGCAGCACATTGTAAGTAAGTATCTTATACTGGGGCAATTTTAACTCTTTATTGAAGTGGGGCATGGTGTGCAAGCCTGTAAGTAAAGAGAAGTGGTTATTGATTCCTTAAGAATTGTTAAAAGCTGCAGTTCTCTCACTAAACTGATCTATGAACTTGTCATCTAAGTTTTTTTGTTAACTACTGATCTGCACTATGTGCAGTTAGCTTCATTAGTCAGATCCTGCCAATGTTACAGGATACAGACTGTGCTGATAAAAGACCCAGTTCATTATTTATGCATCTGAAACAGCAAAGTCTTAGAGATGGGGATATATTCCAAAGTGCTTTAAACAAATCTTACCTGTGTGCCTGGGACTAAGCCTCAAACCACCCTGAGAGACAAAGTTGAATCAGATGGAAACACTATTCCTCCCATTTTAAGCAACCTGGGCTCACAAAGGCTGAATATCAGTCATGACTATGACACGGAGCTTGTCCTTTTGACAAGTCAGATGTGAGCACAAGCACCCCTTCCCCAGGTGGGATACCCCAAGGCTGGCACAGCTGTTGAACAGCTGGCTTAGGGTAAAGAGGACATCTGTTGCTCAGGTTAGAAAATAAAATGCCTGTGGTTTTGCTAAAATATTCTCTAAATTGTATTTTAGTTCTCTAATATTTTTTCTGTATTTTAAGTAACTGAAAGCAAACCAATTACAATAAACCTGTGCAAACCTGACCTCCTCAAACACAGTGTGGGCAGCTTGACCAGCCTTCTTCCATCAGTTAGTCTGAAACAGCAGACATACTCTAATAAATACATTTCTGATGATACTCAGAGATCTTGGGGAAGAGTGGGGATTTACGAGTTGTTTAACTCTTACTGTTTATTAGCAGGAATTGGAGTATAACTCTCTTTGGGTTTTGGCAGTCTCCCTTCTTAATATTCACTCTAGGCATGTCTTGAGTTAGGCAACACCCATCCTTCTTCCTTAATGGGCCGAATCCTGTATGTAGTGAAGTTAAGGACAAAACTCTTATTAATATTAAAGATGTCCACTTTAGTAGAGCACTTACCTGTATGCATAATACTCTGAATGAGTATTGAGTATCGATGTGTGTACTGACACCCCACTGATGTCAGTAAGACAACCTACATACTATTAATCAGGCATGTTTCAGTCCTTTGCAGGGTTAGGTCATAAGTCCAAAGGAGACCATTAAAAGATTAATGAAAGGCATCAGCACCAGCAGTCCTTGTGCATGGGACTCTCCTTAAAAGGCAGTAGGCTTTTTCATGAAATTAATTCCAAACTGTGGAAATCCCTGAAGGTCAGCTATCACACCATTATTTTGCCAAACTAGATTTACAGTAAAGAAATGTTACTTTGTAGAGGAAACTACAAGCTCACGTCAAAAGATCAAAATGAACAATATTCTTCCCTATGTTTTAATCATGTTGTTGTAAAATGTGAGTATGATGTTACATGGCTTTTGATTATCTTGAGATGTTGCTCAGTTCCAGTAGTGACCTTCTGTCCCTGTACTTTCTTTAAATTACAGTTCAAACAAAAAAAAACTTAGAGTTGTTCTTGGAGCCCATCAAGCATCCGTGGCTGAAAAAGAACAACAGATATTTAAGGTTACGCACTACTTTCCTAATCCTCAGTTTGACACGTCTTCCAAGGAAAATGATATAATGCTCCTCAAGGTATTGTGTCAATTACTGTTGTATTATTATAAAAGGATTTTTGCTGATGATCGCTTTGGCTATTCTTTGATATTGAATTGTACATTGTTTAGATAGCTTAACAATATCACAGAACACCCTGCTTTTGGTTGTACTAATCTAGATAAAGTTACGGGAAGACTGGCACTGTGAGCACGGATGACATTTGAAGCCCAAACTCCCTTTAACCACTCCCTGTAGCAACCTCTCCAAAACCCCAAAACACATTCTTCAGTAATTTTTCAAAGGCAGTGCTGAAGTGAGGTATACAATGGAGTCTGGGTTACAGCTGTATCCCAAAGGGATACCTTGTGCTGGACTAAGCAAAAAAGAGGATGAAACTTACTGTTAATTATTTGGGGTAACCACCTAAAGTAAAAGTATGGATAATACAGGACATAGATGAATTCAGGTCTAGGAGCACAGAGTGGTAACATAGTGAAGGAGGCTCAGGACACTGCAGATTGAAGCATGGAAAGATGTCCTCGCCAACATCATCATCATCCTGGATGCCAAAGTGGGGCAGGGCTGTAAGAATTTCTAGGAATCATAGAACCATAGAATCGTTTAGGTTGGAAAAGACCTTTAAGATCATCCAGTCCAACCATTAACCTACACTACCAAGTCTACTCTAAGCCAATCAAGGGTAGACTAGACCAGGATACCAGCTAGACTAGACTAGACTAGGATACGAGCTCCTGCTCAGCCTGGCTCATGCCTCACATGTCCCTGCATTAACAAGTCTTAATCCAGCACAGAGACTGACATGGAGGAAGCCAGGGGTGTTTTGAATAGGGAGAGGGCAGTCTCCATGCAGGAAACGTGTAGATGGTCAAATGGTTCTGGAGGACTGCCTTCCCGTTACCAGCAGTTTCAGTGCTGATCCAAAGTCCCTGAGAAATATAAGACTTGTACGTCATCTTGCCTATACCTTTAGAAACGTCATGACTTCAGTACAATGCCTAAGAAATCTTGGATGGATCTTTATTCAGGCTATGCTTTAGTGTTACACCTGTGATAATGAAGAAATAGTTTTATGTGAAAGATCAGTATGTATATTTAAAATAATTACCTAGCTACATTATATTATGAATATTACCACACTTCTGAAATAATTGGTGGAACTGTATGGAAAAGGAAGTAATGACTTGAACCTGATTTCTAATATTTCGATGGTATCACCATTTTAGTATGACAATGACACAGTGAGGAAACTAGCAGTGTCCCTTTCTGGAACTAGCTGGAGCATTTACAAACTGTACCCCCAGCAAATTATCACTGCCCAAGTGTGAGAAGTTCCTTTCCCCAGATGTTAGTGAGCATTCTCCATCTGCTTCATTGCAAAGGCAGACAGGTTCATTTCACTGGCTTCTCCTATGGCCATGAGCAACTTCTCAGGAGCACTAGGTTATTTGTAAACACAGTACCAAAATGAATTGCTAGGAATTAGTATTTCTAGAGCTGAAAGTTACAACTCTGTTCCAGAATGACATGGATACCATGAAATCCTTTGCCTGAATTTGACACAGGAGCAGGGATAGTGTTAGTGCCAGGGCTCACCTCTCATCTCTACAGTTCTGCTGTAATGCAGTACTAAGTGACTTGGGATAAACCTTCCATCTTTGGAAATTTCCACCAGCCCTAGTGATAATAAACCATAAGGATTTTTTAGGTAAACTTGTGGTTTGTTGGAGTGGCTTTTTTAAAAGGTATAAACCCAGAATCGTTTAACTGGCAACCATTCAGCAACACGTATAGCCAGCCACCTGTGAAATGGATCACGGTGTGGTGATTGTGTGTAAAACAGAAAATGTCCGTGCAGTAGCTGTGAGTCCTTACCAAGCACATTGAGGATATGTGTTATTGTTTTGCTATGTTTTCACTTACAGACTTAAATTGGCCTCTGCTGAAGTATGAATCTGTCAGGTAAAGGCCAACAAAACACAGACGGTTTGGATCATGTAAGCCCTTTTGAATCTCTCAGAGCGAAAACTTGGTAGTCTGAGTCAAGACCTCATTTTTCCCCAGTTATGTTGCTACTGTCATGTCTAATTGGTTACAGCTTTTTTTTCCATCTTTGTTACTGGGTACATTGCACCACGTTTTGAGACCTTTCTGTGTGCTAGTCAAGCACCAGAGTCTGATTTCAACACAGAAGTCCAGTGGCAAGTTAGGTTCTCAAATAGAATATAGGTCCAACAGCGTAACTACTGTGCTGGTTTTTAATTTCCTACTGTAATCAATGAACCTACTACTGCTGCTGTAGATAGGGAATTGCTGTGCAGACATCAGGGAAATTATTTTGGATTTGCAAAGGGGCAGTTAAGCTCAGGATCAGCTCCTCAGTATTGAAAAGTGATTTATAAGGAAAATATTAGTAAAATGAGACTAAATGCCAATTGAAATTAGATTATACTTTTCTTCCTTTCTGCATGAGAAAGCATTTTTTTTTTCTTCTTTCTTCCAGCTGAATGGTATTGCAAAGCTGAATAAAGACGTGCAACTTTTGCCTCTGCCTGACTCTTGTGAAGATATCAAACCTGGCACAACGTGCCAGGTGGCTGGCTGGGGACTCATGTCTCCAGAAAGGCGATCAAAATATCTTCGGGAAACAACTCTTAAAATTTTTGATAGAAAACTCTGTGAGAGGAAGTATAAAAATTACACAAAAATAACCAGCAACATGTTGTGTGCTGTAGGGAA